AATATTTGTAGCTTAAGAGTTACATAAATGAACTTTAGGGAATCATTTAATTTCAACTAAAACCTAAAGAAAAATGATTTTGATTGAAGCGGTGTCTGAGGCAACCCTGCGTGTATTTTTTTTAACCTCTTTCCATTGCCTGGTTGAACAGATGCTCTGCATGTGTTTCCCTTTCCACATTTGTTTCATTGTTTGGAGATTCTTGACATTTTTCTCTGCAGAACAGATATTATTGTTCCCGCTGGTTAGAATGACTTCAAAGGACATCATACAGCTTGCAGCTTCATGCAATGTTTACTCAACTATAGAACTATCTATATTGTCTGACAACAACCAAATTAAAATTTTCAGTCTTCAGCTGTAATTTTCCATTGTTGGGTTGAATCTAACTGGCTGCAGCAACACAGATAGTTCTCACTTAGTACGCAATGGTAAATGCAGCTAAATAATAAAATGACACCAAACTCAGGAGTTAAAACTTTAAAATACATTCTAGTACCTTAGCTATTAACAATAATGTATCTTATTTGTGTATCATTCGGCTGTAGATCCCCAAATCATCTCTGAATTGGTGCTGACACTGTCCTTCCTTCTGGAGGTGGCAGCAGCAAGAGGATCGCAGTGGGAGAGGTCATCTGAGCTTTATACCCCATAGACGGGATGAGAAGTCAAGTGAGCTCTGTACCCCAAACTGGGATGAGAAGTCAAGTGAGCTCGGTACTCTATAGCTGGGATGGGTGGTCAGGTGAGGTCTGTAACCCATATCTGAGATGAAAAGTCAGGTGGGGTCTGTTCCCCATAGCTGGCATGGGAGATCAGGGGAGCTCAAGACCCCATAGCCAGGATTTAAGGTCAGGTGAGCTCTGTACCCCATAGCTGGGATGGGAGATCAAGTGAGCTCTGTACCCTATAGCTGGGTTTGAAGGTCAGGTCAGTGGCAGATCCATGGGGGAAGAGTGGCAAAAGGGCAATTTTTGCAGGGCGATGTGGGGACATTTTCATGAATACCTAGGAGCAGCCCATTAATGAGGAGCAGGTGTGGGGCGTGTGCTACCAGTGTGCCCAGGAAATGGCCAGGGCTCCCTGGCACTGTGGACCAGGGAACAGGACCCAGCACCAGTCCTCTATATATTATAGTGTTCTGTATTGCTTTTTAATGTATTGCTGAGATTTGTATTCCTCTATAGCCAGTGCCATTCTGCATTGCTGTATAATGTATTGCTGGAATTTGTAGTCCTCTATAGACAGTGGCGACTCTAGGAACAATATATAGGGGGGCACATAAGATACCAGTCAAATCTGGGGGGACACTAATAATTTTCATTGCATGTCGCAACCGCTAAGCGCCGAGAGCTGATTTAATTGCGGATGGCATTTGCGTCATGCGGTTGCGACATGTAGTCCAACGCCGCCCACAATCCTGAATACCGCAACCGCCGACGCCATCCGCAATTAAATCAGCTCTCAGCACCCAGTAGATGCGGAATACAGCAGGGGCTGACTGGCAACTTTTAGCCCAGGGGACAAGTACAACCCAGAGGCCCATGGTGCATCTACTTGGCCCCACTCCCGCTCTGCCTCTTACCCCGCCTTCTCCCCTCCCCTGCCTGCCACTTTTGCCATCCATCTAACAGTAGTGTGAATGGTCGGGTGATGTGAAATCTCCTAGTAAGTCCATGAAAAGGGTGACAGGCTGGGGGATGGTGCTCTCCTCCCACTGGGCTCCCTACATAGTTCTGGCCTTAGTCCGCTCTATGTCTGGTACATAGGTACTCTTGCCCACTGTAGACCGCAGCTGGCTGTCATGCTTCTGGGCTGTGCGCTGTGAGAGGGGCCGGACAGTGTCAAAATCAGTGTTCTATAATTTTTCTCGATCCTATACATTTTCTCGACTGTGTCACTTCCAATTGTGCCAAGTCTTCCGAATCAGCTCTTTTCATGACCCCCTTTCTTAATAAATCCCAGCAATACTATAAAGACTATAAATCCCATACATACATATGAGATAAACATATACAGCAGTGAAAAACACCAGCTATAGAGGACTACAAATCCCAGCAATACATATTACATCAATGCAGAATAATATGAAGCAACATACTCTGTGTTGCTCTCGGTTCGCCATCTGATGTCTCCAGGGTCTCGGGAGGGTTGTGCGGGCTCTCACCAGGGGTCCAGAGAGTTTCAAGGGTGCGTGTGGGTGCAGCAGAGGCAGCTCCCTAATTAGGCTCTCAGGTGGCCAATGCGGACTGCCAGGTGGTCAGTGCGGGCTCTCTGCTGGTCAGTGTGGGATCTTTGGTGGCCAGTGGGGGCTCCCTAATAATTAGTGGGGGCTCTGTGGTAGCTCCCAGGTGGGTAGTGAAGGCTCCCTGGTGGTTAGTGTGGGCTACCTGGTGTAGGGTGACCATTCATCCCCGATTTCTGAGGCCAGAAATCAGGCACAGTCCCCAAATTGAGGAGACCACCCTCTGCTGGAATGAAGACGATCGCGCGGCTGTCAGCAGGAGAGAAGTGAAACCTGGGGGGGGGGGCTATTGCCCCCCCCTTGCCCTCCTGTAGCAACGCCACTGTCTATAAATGATGGTATTCTGCATTGGTGTATAATGTATTGCTGGGCTTTGTAGTCCTCTGTAGATGATGGTATTATTCTGCATTGCATCTAGCAACACCCCTGCAGGCATGTCCTGCCTTTTGTTTAGCCTCTGAATTGTTCAGTGCTACATACAATCAGCAGCAGAGAACACACAGCAGGTAGGTCCCATGACATCACTGCGCACTTCAGGGTCCACATGATTGGCAAACCCAGAGCTGCACAGCAACACTGAGACAAGCGGTGGCTGGTGGGATCAAACCAGCAGATGATGAACGGTGTAAACAAAGGGGGAGGGAGGACACAATTTGGTATCGTTGTTCTAGGCACTAGATGATTCTGTCCTAGCACGGCTAACATGGTACAGTCATCAGTTCCCACAGATGCAGTTTTCAAAGGAAGCACTAGAAGGCAGCATTGATACACATACCAATTTATGATTTATTTATTTGATGTAACATAGATCAGAAAATATAGTAATGAAAATACTACATACGTGTGCCTATTTGTCTTAATTTGTTTTAAGTGTGTCTATTTGTCTTAATTTGCTTTTGATTACTGCACTTCAATATTGATATGAAGTCAATACAGAGTTTATGATATGGTATAGTATGGGGTATGGCATTAGTTAGACCTATTTTTAATAGTAGCTCTCAAGCAACCAGAAGCAGCATTTTATGCTATGAGGTCAATTATCTGTTCAGCGGAGTAGAATGACCCCAATTCCCCAAGGTATATCAGACAATACTGTTTTCATAATGTTTTATCTTTGCAAACTGGGAAATAAATAACGTTGTACACTTTTACTGTATTGATGTAAGTTTGCATTAAACTTTTGGAGTGCACACATAACCTTTCTATCTTTGGTTTTTGTACAAATTAAATATTTTTAGCAGTGGAAGCTTCAACTCTAATCACTCTCCTGGGTCACTGACATATGTCTGTTGCCTTGCTGAAATCAGTAGCTGTCAGAGGAAAGGTGGAGCTGTCATTAACAGCCTGCATTCACCTTGTGTGTGGTGTGCGAGAGTGTCCAACAGTGGAATAACTGGGTCTCTAGGGACAGACTAGAGCAGAATTGTGTTCATTGATCAAACTCCAGTAAAATGTTTATCAGTTGAGTAGTTCATATTTTACAGTGGTCTGTAAAATGCCAGGATTGCACCAAGGGTTGAAATCATGAGATCACAAACCACCACATATAACAAGAGTTATAACTTTATTTCATCCCAAAAATATATCCAATCCGTCCCCATAACTTCCAGATGATGAGAGAGACAGACAGAGAGACAGACAGCAATAAGCTGATAGAACTGAAAAACATAAAAGGCAACCAATCAATATTTGTTTTAAAGCTGTACTAGACAAAATGACAATTGCATTCTGACTGACTGTTGCAGGTAGCTTGAAAATGATCCTCTATTATTATACACTGCCTGTCCAAAAAAAGTTCCCACCTGGATTTAGCTTAGAAAATAGGTAAGAGCCAGGGACGTGCGGTCAGGGGACGCAGGTGAGGCAGAGCCTCACCTAGAATTATGGAGGAAAAAGCTGTCAGCTTCTTCTCCATTCAGATTGGCATCTAACAGGTTACACAGCAGGGAAATCCTCCCCACTGTGTAACCTGTCATGGAGCGTCTGAGCAGTGAGGGACAGGGAGGCTCCTCCCTGTCTCCTCCCTTCCTCCTTTACACTAGCTTGGGGACGGGATGGGGGATGGAGCTTCGTCTGGCGGGGCTTCGGTTGGCGGGGGCGGGACATGCTGGGGGCGAGGCTGGGGAATGCCACACCCGGAGCAAGAGGTACTGCACGTGACTGGTAAGAGCCTTCCACTGGATAATAGGTCTAGGATCAACAACATTATGTGCCCAAAACATGAGCTGAACTGAATGACCAGGTTTTTCCATCATTTGATTTTTTCTTCCCTGATGTCACAGGCATATTCCAAGATGACAATGCCAGGATTCATTGTGCTCAAAGAGTGGTTCAGGCAGCATGAGACATCATTTTCACACATGGATTGGCCAGCACAGAGTCCAGACCTTATCCCCATTGAGAATCTTTGTGATGTGCTAGAGAAGACTTTATGCAGTGGTCCGAGTCTCCCATCATCACTACAAGATCTTTGAAAAATGATTGCAACTGTGGACGGAAATAAATGTTAGGACATTGCATAAGCTTATCAAAACAATGTCATGGTGAATGTGTGCCGTAATCAAATCTAAAGGTGGTCCATCAAAATATTAGAGTGTGTGGTTTTATTTTTGGACAGGCAATGAACTGTATATCAGACCTGTAGAACAAGCCGTGTTTTAGAGTCTAATAAAGGATTTGGAAAAGGTATCAGTTTGGAGTATATCATAAAGATGTAACCACTCTAACATGAACAACATAAGGAACATACAACTCTAAGCTTCAAACATTTAGTATGCACTGAACATAGACCCCTTCACTTTGTTATTCTAAAAAAATGCTTGCTCTATTCTTTTTTGGACTTGGACTTCCCTTTAGAGGACTTTCTTCTACAGCAGCATCGAAAGGTGAATACACAGCATTTAATACTGATGAATACAGCAGTGAGCAATATGGCAAAAAGAAAGGCAAAGACATCTATGGAGTGATACTGAATCCAGTTCAAGTCATGGGCAGCTGGGCGTAAGTGCGGAGCTCCTTTGTGTCTCATGACAAACTCCACCCAGTGCACAGCAAGGTCCAGAGGGTGGATGGGTCTGTCAAGGTGCAAAGCAGAAAGCCGCTGAATGTTTTCTTTGTAGCTAAAAGAAAAAAAAGAAACATGAGTTGCCACAGAGTGCAATTTAACTATAGTGGAAGAAGCTAAGAACAAAACCATGTTTACTCTTCTTATCTAATGTTTCCTTTTCCTGTGAGCGAACGCTGCAAGCTGCAAAGATCGTTCAATGTCTTATGTGCCACGACTAGCTCAGGAATTTTAAACATTTGTCTGTGTTCTTACAGGTGCACACAGTTTTTTATGGCATAGCTTCGGGAGTCAGTGTACTATTTCCTGTGACACCATCTGATAGTTTCACATCATTTTGGGACTTTAACAAAAAGTATTTCCCAGTTGGACCCTAATGAGAGTACAATTTTTTCCAACAATCTGGGGGCCCAAAAAATGTATTACAAGACATTACTGTGTTTATGGGTTGTGGTAAAACAATAAAAAGCAAATCTTTTAAGCTGGATCCTAAGAGGAGGGTTTATGACCAAGACCATCAAACACAGCTTTTCTGCTGTGCTTCTAGTTGTCACCTGTCTGTTAGGTTTATTCAATAAAGTGAGGGGTGGGGGGCAAAAGTCACACTTCTGGTCATTCTGTTGCCCATTTGGCACGTTAAAGGCCCATGTTAATTAGGTTTTGATAGCTTCAGAACTGCTTATCTCCCAATATTAGTCTATGGGAATGCAAAATCTAGAAGCAGGTCAAATGCAGGTCAACTGCAGTTCAAATGCACCTGGAATGAATTCTGAATAATCTTCGAAGCGTCCTAAGCTGATGTCAAAAGCATGGTGCGTTTGCCCCTCGACACAGGCCCTTAATGTGATTTTGTAGTCATTTTTACTAATTCCGATATATTAAATGTTGGTACACTAACGCTCTAGTGTTTTTCACTATGGCAAGAACATATTGCATTGTGTCTAAATATGGACCTGGATCTACACCTAGCCAGGGAATATTTATATTTCCCTTACATAGATGCTCAACATGCTCCCTGTTGAGGCAGATATAGAGTTCTCTAATCAGCAGGGATCAAGACATTATTGATTTCAGAGCTATAGCTCTGATTTAGCAGGAGGCTTGTCAGGCATCCGCTGAGAGGCCACTGCTTCCACACAGAGCACTGGTCCTTCTCACAGGCTTTTCTGCTTTCTATAAGGAAGAAACTGTAAGACTTTTTGTTTTGACACACCTGGAATGTACAGTATACAGGTATTCCTCACTTAACGACCGAGTTCCGTTCCTACGACCAGGTCGTTAAACGAATTGGTCGTTAAGATAAAATAGTTACCGAGACCCGCAGTGAAGAACGGAGTACAGCACTTCCGCCAGTGGGACATCGCACTGCCGCTGGCATGTTCCCGCACGTTAGGTCGGAGAGTTGATCGTAAGTGCGAGTGGTCGCAAAACAGGTAAGTCGTAAAGCGAGGAATGTCTGTATAGCCAATTTGTATGGCTTAGGTATGGTAACAAACCCTAAAATAATCAGAGCTATTTTTAGCTTGTTTTGTTTAACCTAGGCTGGTTATAGACATCACTGGATTGGATACCAATGCTTTTTAGAGAATTGCTCACCATTTGTCTTTTCATAGCAAACCAGTGCTTACAATCTGCATTGCTTTCTTGGATACAATATGATTTTATTATTACTGACTATAAAGATTGGAGTGGAGTAATTGTTGATGTGTCATTAATACCTTGGATTGTTTATCACAGATTCCAGAGCATTGGTAAGATCTTCAGGGATCAGGTCTAACACATTCAGTGTGATTCCACCTCCTCGAGACTCAACCCTCTTAGCATTGTCCATTTGGTCACCAAAGAGTGGTAACAGAACCATGGGCACTGCATTACAAATACCTTCGTAGATCCCATGTGAACCCGCATGAGTGATAAAGGCACGGGCCTTTGGGTGAGCTGAAAAAAACAAAAACAAAACATGTTTGATTGTAAAACCTCAAAGCACAGTTTGTCTAATTATTGCTTTCCCTTTGGAAACCAAATGTTCCGACTCCACAATGACTTCTAGCTAAGAGATGTTATTTGCACAAACAGCGTGCTGCAGATTTCCATAGTATACAAATACCAACTTCAGCTATAAAGTCAGCACATACCTCCCTATTGGCCCATGAGGCTGCCTATCACTTTGGTGGACCAATAGCAAGGCATGAGATGCAAGAAAGGATGGGCTAAAGCAGTTTCAGCTTGTGTTTGCATTATGAACAGAAGTACTTGTTTTCTCTAGTTTTCTCTAAACTCCCCAGAAGGCACTGGCAGGTTTATGCAGGTAACAAACAAATCAGATTTACCTTCAAGTACTCATTACCAATACAGAATTTTATTATAATTAATAGCAACAATAATATAGTCAATAATATAATTAATTTTGGTATTAAATGCAAGAAAATTAGATAATATTGGTGCTGAATGAAGCTAGTACCCAGCTTCATCCAAAAAAACTTATTTTAAGAGATAAAGAGGATACTTTTTAAAATGTGTAATATTTACTTTAAAGCATGTAAAAAACAACAACTTACCCAGCAGATCATTCTGTGGCAGCCATTTCACTAGGTGGGTGTTTTTACCCAGATTTGAAGGTGGTAGTCCTGTATACCTCCATATAACCTGAAAGGAGAACACAAGAAATGAGTGATCTATGTGCAGAGAATGACAATGTACTGCAAGATGTCATTTACATCTGCCGTACTATATTTTACCTTTATCCTTTTTCATCTCAAGTAACAGAAAACGCTAAGGGCCCATTCACATTATGCACTGGATTAATGTAACACGTTATCATTCATGAATTTTGAATGGGCTGGCTGCGCACCTCAAAGAACGAAAAATAAGTCCTGAACCTTTTTTTTTTTAACACACCACAATGCACAAGCAGGTCTCATCTGTGTATTTTGTATGTTGAAACGCACATGCATTGTTGAGCTGCGCTGGCATGGTGGGTTGGGCTACCATTCAAAATGAATGTCATCACAATGCGCCACAATTTATAAGCTAATGTGAACTGTAGGGAAATGGGTTTTCCCATGTGTTCACACAATGCGAAGATGTGACTATAGACATTACAATTGGATTATAGTGATAGATCCTTTAGATCTACCAAAAACTATGTGGTGCAATGGCCAGCATGAATGGGCACAAACTGAATAGGATATTTATGTACAATGTAGGCTGTACTTTACTAATCACTATTTTCTTTTGTAAAAAGATCCAATAATTTTTATTTCAATTCGCTTAAAGTGTATTTCCACTTTCGCAGCCAGATTGGGATAACACTTATTTTATGTTTATTACATGTTCCCATTCACATAGCATAAGCAAAAAAATGCTTCTTGTGGTTTAAATTCCTTTTTCTTGAGTTAGGGTTTTAAGGGTTAAAATTTCTTCTTGCTTCCATTTCTTTGAAATATTAGGAGGGGCGGTGAGGGGTCTAAGGTGGCTTGTCCATTGTATGTTAATGAAGCTTATCAGATAAACACAATCCTCAAATTTCAGTCCTAAATCTTTCTATTAGGACAGATCACTGTGAAAGGGTTAAGAAAAGCCTGGAATCAGCCAACTTGGCTGCTTTAACAAAACATGTAAAAGGTAAGACATTTATTTTAAAGGAGAACTATGAGGTCAGGGCTTTTCCCCATAGTTCTCCTAAGGCTAACGGGAGGACACAAACTAGCGTCCTCCCGTCACCCAAAGCTCAGTATACCGTGAGCTACAGCTCGTGGTATACTGAGACGCTGCAGCCGTGATGGATCCCGACATTACTATATTGATCCACCCAGCTGCGTGAGTGACAGCTGGCTCTGCCATCTAGAGGCAGAGCCAGCTGTACCCGCCCCCTCCCCGGTCCGTTCCACCAGTCAGCGCTGGAGGATCGGACAGGGGAGGGGGGTCCCTGCAGGGAGCCGTGAGTGACAGTCACGGCTCTCTGCAGGGACAGTATCGAGAAGTGAGCGAGCGACGGTATGTGTTCGCTCACTTCCCGATCTATTGAGCTGACCTGTGACAGTTTCATTGTCACAGGTTGGCTAGAACTATGAGGCTGAGTGATTTTCACTCGCCTCATAGTTCTCGTTTAAAAGTTATTTGTCAGTATGCTGTGTTAATAGGAACACATAACGAACATATAGAGGGGTTATCCGAAATTTTATTGCAAAAGTGGAAATACACTTTAAGGCATTACTGCACAAATCAGCTGAATTTAGTGGATGCACCCTATTTGATTGATTTGATATTTTCAGTGACAAGTCAATTCATAAGAAAAATCATGCGTTATCGCTTCTTAAAACATTACTAACTTAGTGGTTGTGAAAATGTTGAGTTTCAGTGATGTGTGTATTGAGGAAAACATCAAAATGAGCCATGTGAGGTAGTGAAACAATAATATGTGACTTTGGGGGTAGCCTTGTCATTTGATCTAACTGCTAGCAGAGCAGTCCCACCCAGAAGCATAGAGAAGTCAGGTGGCATAGCTATAAGCATGGCAGCAGTTTTAATGTACGTTATTGTGCTCAGGGACTACTAAGAGGTCAACCCATCCAAACCGATATTTGAGTTTTAAATAGATGCTGGGAGGGTTAAACCACCTAACCGAATCTCATGTCTTTCAAGGACTCAAGTGATGAGTCCCATGCTCCTGAGGTTCCAGGTTTAGGGTAGGAAACACACATTTTGTTGCAGAATGAGTGAGACTGTGGTATCACTGGACAATGATGGTGGTGATCGAGGACTACCTTGGAAGTTCTCAAAGATATAAGAAGCCAGCAGGTGACTAACAATAGCTGATACTACCAACAGCTGAAACACCACTTTTTTGTTTTAAGGTAGCTGACAAGTGTTTAATGCTGGAACAACTTGTATCTAAAATCCAATATATGGTACGCTAGTTTTAGTGCCAGACTAAGAAGAAACACTTACCGTTTGAGGAATGGATCTCAAAGCCTCCGCTATGTCCATAGCCTTATGCATAGGGATTTCAGATACCATAGATCCGAGAGAGAAAACCACAAAGCCATGATCCCCAGAACTGTTTATAAGCTTCTCAAACTCCTGAAGGTAGACAAAAATTAAAAAGGTGACATTTTATAGAAAACATAAACATATATTACATCTAAAAGTTTATGAGATTTGTGCAATAGGGATGTTCTAGAAGTGGACATAGATGAGACTGTGAACCATTTCAACTAGATATTTGTTCAGGTGAAAATGATGCACCAAAATAAGAAATGATAACAATTGCTTATACTGATACACGATAAAATGTAGCTATTACATGTATACATCTGCTATAACCTCATTTATGCTGCTAGTGCACTGAGGAACTACTATTTCTCAATTATAGTGTATGTAGACCCTGAGATATGATTTTCTTTACTAGCATAGGGGAAGGCTAAAACCCCTGAAACGTTTTTATTACTCAGGGCCGTGCGGTCAGGGGAGGCAGGTAAGGCAGAGCCTCACCTAGTATTATGCAGGAAAAAGCTGTCAGCTTCAAGTCTGAAGCTGACTGCTTTTTCTCCATTCAGATCGGCTTCTATCAGGTTACACAGCAGGGAAAGCCTCCCCACTGTGTAACCTGTCATGGACGGAGAGCTGCCTGTTAATTACAGTCAGCGCTGCATCCGGCTTTTGACAGATAGTTAGGTTACACAGCAGCGGGCTTCCCCACTGCTTGTGTAACCTAACTTGGGGAGGCAAGAGCTGTCACAGCCTCTACTCTGTGTTAGAGGCGTGCGCTCTGTGGATGACTTGGACCAATAGCAAAGCGCCATTGGTCCAAGCTGTCCATTCACAAAAACGAAATGAAATCAGTGAGGACATTGATCTCGATGCCTCACCAGTGACAAGCAAGTAAGGGACAGGGAGGCTACTCCCAGTCTCCTCCTTCCCACACAGCTTGGTTACTGAGCAGGGGGTGGGTCTTCAGTTGGATGGGGCGGAGCTTCGGTGGGACAGGGGCAGAGCTTTGACGGGCTGAGGGATGCCTCACCCAGCACAGAAAGCACAGCACGTCATTGTTGTTACTGTCTATTCTCCTGTTGCAGATCTACCTTCACTTCCTGTCTGGTAAAACAATGTCAGCTGGACAGGAAGTGAGAGGTAAATCTCTCTATCCAAGCCCTAGGGAGCAGTAAAAACCCAACAGGCATTCTAATACTGCACCACTTTATCCAAAACTAGACATGCATTTAAATATACCACTGCAAGTGTTTGGTTATATCTGTTCCATAAGTGAAAAAAATACCTGACCAAGTGAAAAGTATAAGGGGGTGGGTTTAAAAAGTTTAGCAAGAGAAAACTGGGCAGTGCTGACACCACAAAAATGCCGTCAACCAATAACAGGACTTTGTCAGTGTTTTATTATTGCTAGTTCACATCTGTGTATATGTGCTGATATGCGTTAAAAAAAATGTACATTAACTTTTTGGCTAACAATCAACCCACATTGTTGGCAATGGCAGCACATGTCAATGCAAGACAATACAGGTGGCCAAAACAATGAAAGAATGCAGGTAAATGCAAATGCAAATGTGTGAATCCAGCCTTAGTGACCTTTAAACCAACCACATGCCTATTTTTTCCCCGAAATGAGTATTGATATAATATAACCATTTTAATAGTCAGCCTATTTATTACCATTTTACTTGTACATATCTATTCTTCTGGCAGAAATACGTTTGCCTTTAGAGAAGAGATATTTCTATTTTGAAATCACAAAAGGATAAATGACCAAATTAAATACCATTTCCATATATATATCCACTTATTTTCTAAATGTATCATTATTTTATAAACCACATATAAACATCTGATATATGTTATCATTGTATTACAAGTATCCATAGCATCAACATGGAAAGACTATGAATAAGTACTGGAGCAATATTTGTTATATATTTAAAGGGCAATATAAATAATCTACATCCAAGAAGCTCTCTATGAAAGAACATTGATGGGATATATCAAAACTGGAGCAGACAAAATCTGGAGCAGATGCCCGTGGCAACCAATCAGTTTCTCTCTTTCATTTTCAAATCTTGACTAAACAAATTGAAGAGAGAAGCTGATTGCTTGCCATGGGCAACTGCTCCAGATATTGTCTACTCCAGTTTTGATGAATTCCCCTCATTTTGTTTTATTAGTACTATGCTACCGCCATTTACAGCATCTGATGCCTTTTTTGCCAGTACACACGTCACACAACTTCATACTATGGCCCCATCTGTACAAATTCTGTAAGAATCACAAGCTCAGCTGAAATAAACCTATTTTTTTTAAAAAGATCACACTCAGCATGGTGGCCTAGCTGAGCTCAGATTTCAGACAAATGTTTAACCCTACCACATCCGACCCTAGAAATGATCTACAAACAAAATCAGGAATACTATATCCATTAAAAACGAATTCCAGACAAGGTTTTTTTTTTCCATATAGAGTGTTAAAGATTTAAGTTTCCCTTGATTTTTATATCAGTCTTTGATCCATTTGAGAAGAATTTCCTTTACTTCCTGTCTCTGAAACACCCATACAATAAATGGAGGTGTTCCTGTCATCACCTGGACAGGAAGGCAGGGACAGCAATAAAAACATTGCTAGAAGTTCTAACCTTTCCCCACTCTAGTGAAAATTTGCTTTTTATCTATATCCCCACTGGAGAGATTTCCCATCACTTACTGTTCTGACAGAAATCTCCCCAACAGGGACACAGATGGAAATATAAACCTGGTCAGGGCTCCGATCCTTCCCCATTTCATCCAAAATAAAATGTTTTGTCTGTTATTAAAGGTAAGGTACGTTTCTGTGGTAAAATAGCATACATAAGAGAGGGGACTTGGACACTATGCGGTCAAAAAGTCAAAGCATGTGGAAGGTCATACAAAACATGTATACACAAAAGTTCCCAGTATTTTGCGAACATCTTTCCACATGGAAAGATGTTGGAGGCAGTCAGGTAATATCAAATAGCTAACCAATAGCTCTTATTAGCAGATACCAACATGTAGTAAGTCATAGCCTGGTGTTCTAGCAATTTTCCTAAGTCTCTGAAACATGCAGACTTCTCAAAGCTGGATTGTAGAATTTGTTGTGCTCCATATATAGTACGGTCCCCCAGTCCCAGTTTCTCTAACAGGAGACCTTACTGATTACACATAGACGAGTCATAAAATAAAAATTTCTACCTGCTTTAATGGTTTCCTGTTGACACAATTGATGCCACCTATAAAAACCATGTTTGGCATTACAGGCTTTGGGTACTCAAAGACAAAGTCATATCTCAAGAGCCATATAGAAGCTCGTCTGAAAAGGTCTACAGATGTCACATCTCTTTTCAGGAATTCTGAGGCAACACGAGCATAGGGGGAATAAAGCATATGACATAGTGCATACTCAAGTAATCGGACTAAAACATTCTTCGCCCTCTGGCTGAAGTCCATATGGTCAGTGTACGTTGTGAACAACCTAGGTATATAAGAAGGTGGACTAGGTGATTGAGAAGCTTCTTCATCCATGCCAAAAGGAGTCCCATGCATGAAGTTCACAGATGGAATAGAGAGGTACTCAGCTACAATCTGACCACAAGGAAGAGCCGGGTCACTCAATAGAACATCAAAGTTGGCGTCTTTCAAATATTTGATGAGTGTTTCATTCTGAAGAAAAAGCTTGCATGAAGTTAATAGCCAGTCAGCTGAATTTGTAACTCTCTGATATAAAGTCTTTAAATTTTGAGGCACTGTTTTATATTCAAACACTTCTTTGCTCACTTGTTTTACCTGGTCTTCCATCAATTCTTTGCTGAAAGGCAGGCTATAAGTTTGCACAGGAAACCCCAAATCATTCAGGAAAATATTAGGTTCAGGAACAACCACAAGAATCTGGTGTCCTCTGTGGGACAACTTCTCCACCAAACCACGCATGCTGAGCCAATGGCTTCCTTCTTGAGGTATCACTAACAATTTCCCACTTTCAGCCTGGTTAATAGTTGCCAGAATAAAAAAGATTCTCATAGTCAAAGAGAGAAAAACACGAATCTCCATGATTGCAGTATATTCACAACAAAAGCAACTTCCTTGGTACTAGCAGTTACAAAGCAAAGATTTATTGCTTGATCTGCTGAGATGTTTAAAATCCAGACCAAACTTGTGATTTCTCAATATCCATCTGTAATAAAATGCATCAATAAAGTCATGTAAATATTGTTTTTACTATGTGCCAAAATTATCTCTCAGGAAATGACAGGCAAAATGCCTCAAAAACCCCTGTAAAATGCTTAGAAGATGATCACAAAATCCTAACAAAACACAATGCTTTGGGCATGTGCACATTAACAGTCACATGGTGTAACAACCTATAATTGCTAGGTATTTACTATTTAGACCTGTAAGGTAGGTAGGTAAGACTTTACCATGTAAGGTAAGTTTTCTGCATAAATGAGTCTAGAAATTAAATAGTAAACACAATTAGAGTGCTCAGTACAAATATTCATTCATTCATATTCATTAAATATTTTGAACAAGACTTGCTTTTACTAAGGTCTAATTCACACCAAGCGCGTTCCAGGAGTCGAGCAGAGCAGTTACAAACCGGATCAAAACTGCGTCCAATGTATTCCAATGGTATTTTGGGCTCTAGTTCACACCGCAGCGTTCAGTTCCAGAGCATGTAAAAAACTGCAGCAAGCCCTATTTTACCTGCTCTGGAATGCTCTGGAATGCATGCAAACGCATCAAAAACACATGCAAACGTCCTTGAACGCCCTGAAAGCCCATTCTAAAATGTTAAAAAAAAGGCCCGGAACGCATCAAAAACGCGGCAAAAAACGCAGTATAACACACTGCACCGCGTGTGCAGAAACTCATGCAGATCTGGTCTGCATTTGGTGTGAACAAGCCCTAACACTATTTTCAATCTATGTGTAACTACCCTTCACCAATCCACTGTGCCAGCACAAGTTGCTATGGCTCTATACCACATAACCCACAACTAGAGCGCTATAGGACCTGATTATTACAGTCAACAAATAATGTATACACTTTGCTACAAGTCTACCCACCCTCCTTAAAGGAGAACTATGAGGTGAGTGATTTACACTCAACCTCATAGTTCGAGCCGACGTGTGACAATAAAACCGTCACACGTCGGCTCTATAGATCGGGAAGTGAGCGAACTCGCTCACTTCCTGATCATCTCCGTGCAGAGAGCGGTGACTGTTAAGGAACCCAGATCCTCCAGCTGGGTGGATCTCGACAGTATTGTTGGGATCCGTCCCGGCTGCGGTGCTCTCAGTATATAGCGGGCAATAGCCCGCTATATACTGAGCTTTGGATCATGGGACCCTTACAGTGCTACTAGAATGCAAAACCCACTTAAAACAGGTCAAATACAGGTCAGAAGGAGGCCAACTGCAGATCTAATGTCCTGCCAATTAATTTTGAATGATCTCTGAAGGTTCTTCTACTAATGTCCAAGGAATGTCATCAACATAAGCCAAAGCTAGCCAACGCATACCCTAAGGCCTTGTTCACACCAAGCGCGGAGCAGGTGCAGAGCAGATCAGTTGCAGACCGGATCAAAACTGCGTCCAATGTATTCCAATGGTATTTTTTGCTCCAGTTCATATCGCAGCGTGCAGTTCCAGAGCAGGTGAAAAAACTAGAGCAAGCCCTATTTTACCTGCTCTGGAACTGCAAACGCATCAAAAACGCATGCAAATGCCCGGAACGCACTGAAAGCCCATTTTAAACTTTACATTTTTTTATTTTATTGCATCTAAAAGTCTAGTGTGCGTGTGCAGAAACCTGACTGGATCTGCTCTGCATTTGGTGTGAACAAGGCCTTAGACTTCTGTGCTTAAAAAATGCATTTTCTAAGTCATAGCAATGTATTTTGTATGGATTTTATTATGCATTTGCAAGGCAGGGAGTATTTTTGTATGCAACATACACACATTTTTACATGCATTTTATATGCTCTGCTATTGATTCTTATGGAAGGTGGGTTTTTCTGGAAATTGCAGGTAAACTGCAGAAAGCAAGGACAGAACTGCTGCTTGTGAACAATCTTTAATACTGTAGAACAAGTCAAGTCAAGCAGAATATGACCAACTACTGCTAACTGTAACATGACCTACATAAATAAGAAACTTCAGAGACATATGCAGCAAGCACGATTTCTTTAATGTATATGCCAAAACTGTTCTGCTAAAACAGTATTTCAGAACTTCTGCTATAGGAGCAGTTCAAGGGCTCATGCACCTAGGCATATTGGAGCATGCAATGTAAAAATTGTAGCTTTTTTCCACAACTGGGAAGCCCAACTGGTGTGTACAATCGCCCATAAACATGAATGGCATGGCACAAAAACGCTAAAATCCTCTGCACGGATTCCGGTGGTTTGCAGCTATTACTATAGCCCCGGACATGCGTAATCCGCCCCTGAAATCGTGCTTAGACTATTTTGCGGGACGTGCGGATTTGTACTGCGTGGTTCCTGCAACAGTCTGAACAACGCACATTAAAATGCATGTTTTTTTATGTTTTAGAGCGGTTCCGCATGTGTTCGTACGCCAGAAAACTGCTCATGTGTGAGTGGAGCCTCAGGAGTTAAATTTAAAAAATGCACCAAGCTTGCTCCTGTGATAGACTATAATCTCAATACAAATTTGTAAACTAAATGTGAGATTGTAGTCCATCCTGTGAGCGAGCTTGGAGTGGTGGCTACTTTACAACACACACAGGCACCATGGGGAACAAAAGTAGCCACCCTCCAGAAGGAAGGACAGTGTCATCATGAATTCAGAGATGATTTGAGGATCTACAGCCGAGTGATACACAAATAAGTAACATTTTTGTTAATAGCTAATGTACTTGAATGCAATATTTAGATTTAACTCCTGAGTTTAGTGTCACTTTAAGGTTATACAAAACACCATCCCACCTACGCAACGCCTTTAAGAGAAGTTTAAGAGAGCTGCAGCATACCCTCAATGCTCAGAAGACTCCTTGTCCTGGTAGCGGTGTTCTTCTGTCTGCTGCTTGTTTGGCTGAGCTTTGCGCTGAACTATACTGAACTTCTAATGGCTTGATAGGGCTCAGTAAATCTCAAAAAACAGCACTGTCAGCAAAATAGCTTTGCGAGTAGGCAAGTCCATAGAGAGAAAGAGGCAACAGCAGGGAGCATAGCAAAATCTGCAGAACATTCCCTCCCGTACTAGTAAAGGAAAGCAGAAACAACTTTCTAACATTGCTCATTGAATAGCTTTTTTCCAGTAAAACACTTCCTGCCCCTTCTCCATTCCCCTCCCTGATCTGTTCAGCACCACACACCCAGCTCCCCCTCCCCTTTTTTAATACTTGGACATATAGGAGAAGTATGCACACTTTGTTTGATTAGGCCTATAGAGTGCAGGTTCTATCTTTACCTTTGCTCTATTGCACTATGCCACATTTAATCCAATACATTTGGCTTTAACAACAAGAAATCAGTACATCAGAACAAAAACAACAAATGCAGAAGGCACTCGAGCCAAACTGTACATATTCTATGCCACATTTAAATAGTAAAAATAATAAGTAATATTTTCTGGTATAAATGTATTGCACTTTTGCTCTGCACAGGGTTTGAGTAGCATATAACCAATTCAATGGCCGTATTTATAAACTGGCATGGCAACAATATTACATATCCCTTAAAGGCTAATTCCACTTTTTGCAAGAAATAAATGTAAATAATAAAGGCATCTACATTGATTTAAAAAAAATGCAGTGACCAGGCTCCTGCAGAATGTTCTTCCAGCCCCTGTCTGTACTGAAATATGTACTTTCAGTCAGGGCTCGACAAATTCCAGGCAACTTAAAATTGCGTCCTGGTGCCTGGGCTTTTGTCAGCTTGTTCACTGTCGACCGCCGCTGCCTCCACAATCAGCTCTGCTCTCCTGTCCTCCTCTCCGCTGAGTGACGGTTGTAGTGGTCTGTGTTCACTTCAATCACCGCTTCTCTCCCTGTCTGTGTCAGCAGTGGGGATCGTTCCTCTTCAGCCAGCACCAAGAGGGTAGGAGAGATCGATGTCAACCGCTGTGCCCCGCCCCCCGCTAACCTTCTGCCTTCCAGCATAGGCAGAAAGCAAATGACGTACTAATGTAGAAAAAAGAGAAACGAAGTACACCTGGTAACAATAGGCCAGTCAGCTTACCATCAATAGTGTGCAAAATATTCGAAGACTTGATAAGGGACTACATGTAGGAATTTGCAAATAAAACTAGTATCCAGTAACCAACCTGTACTCCTTTATGAAATACTATTCATATCAGACCAGACCAATCTATTAACATTTTATGAGGAAGTCAGTATTAATTTAGACCAGTGGTGGCGAACCTTGGTACTCCAGCTGTGCCAAAACTACAAATCCCAACATGCATCTGCCTCTGGGAGTTATGTCTGTGGCTGTCAGAGCCTTGCAATGCCTCATGGGACTTGTAGTTCCAAAACAGCTGGAGTGCCAAGGTTCGCCACCACTGATTTGGACAGAGGAATACCAGTAGATATGGTATATCTGGACCTTGCTAAAGCATTCAATACAGTACTCCACAAATGTTTAATTCATAAACTGAGAGCTATTGGTTTGGATGAAATTTTACGCACATTGGTGGAACACTGGTTGCAAGAACGGATCCAGAGGGTAGTAATAAATTGGTGATTTAATAATTGGGCAAAAGTTGTGAGTGGGGTACCCCAGGGTTCGGTCCTGGGACCTATCGTTTTCATCTTATTCAACAAGGACATAGAGATTGGAATGAATAGTTGGATTTCTGTTTTTGTGGACAATACTAAACTATGTAGGGAAGTAAATTCTAAACAGGAGATATCTGCACTTCAACAAGACCTGGATACAATTGAGGCATGGGCTGCAAGATGGCAAATGTGATTTACTATTGAAAAATGTGAGGTTATGCACAAGGGAGCTAAGAACATGTAAGCAAACTACTACTTGGGGGGTGCCTGCATTAGGGAAGTCTGACATGGAAAAAGGCCTGGAGATGCTCATTCATTATAGATTTGGCAATAGTATGCAATGCCTAACAGCCGCCAGCAGAGCAAACTGGATACTGTCCTGCATTAAAAAAATTGATTTTAGCAAGGGATAAAAGAGTAATACTTCCACTTTAAAAATCATTGGTTCGGCCTCATCTTGAGTGTGCGGTGCAGTTTTAGTCGCCATCCCTCAGGAAAGACGTCCTTGAGCTTGAGAGAGTCCAGAGAAGGGCTACAAAATTAATTCAAGGGATAGAAGGCCTAAGTTATGAAGACCACCTCTAGCAATTAAACGTATTCACCTTAGAAAAGAGGCGCTTAAGAGGGGACCTTATTGCAGTCTTCAAAATCATCAATGGGTGCCACAATATACGGAACAATTTGTTTAAACCGAGAACTATATTAACCCCTTCATGACTGAGCTTGTTTTTAGTTTCTGTTCGTAAATGACTGACACACTTTTGACATTTTTGCTGTGTGATTCTTCCACGTCAGTAATATACTTTCTTACAAAGTGCACCCACACATATTATATACTGTTTTTTAGAGGACAGATAGGGCTACATATTTTTATCACATATGTGTGTCTAACGCCTCACTTAGGACAAATAAAATATAGAAAAAGAGGAAAAAACTTAAAAAACACTTTTTTCCCAGTTTTGATTTGTAGTATTTTTTTTTACAAAACCAGCACAGCTAAACAAAATGCAATAAATACATTCATTTATTTGTCCCTTATTTTTAATTTTTTTACACTTATTTATTTATTTTGTTTTACACTTTTCACAATTTTTATTTTTTTTACACTTTTCACTATTTTTTTTAACCACTTAAAGGCGGTTAAAAAAAACCACTTTAACCACTTAGTGTTTCACCCCCTTCCTAGCCAGGCCATTTTTCAGTATTCAGTGCTGCGGTACTTTGACTGACGTTTATTCCGTCATGCAACACTTTACTGAAACGATTTTCATACCATTTTTTGGGGACAGATAGAGCTTTCTTTTGGTGGCTTTTATTCACCAATGGGGTTTTTATTTTTTACTATATAACAAAAAAAGTACCATAAATTTTGAAACAAAAAAATGTTTCCCTATAAAATTTGATTAAACATTTATTTTTACCCAGGTAAGTCGGTAAGCGAGGAACATCTGTATAGCTTGAGAGATAGACATCTCTCGATCTATACAAGCTGTCAGAATGCCGGCAAAGCCACTCTCAGACACCCGATCTTCAGGTATCGGGTGTCTGAAAAAGGTTAACCCTTTCATTAATGGATGCCTCTATAGTGAGGCATCCATTAATGAATGATAACCGCTGATTCTCAGCGGTTACCAGCCTTCTAGTGCAGCAAATAACTTGTCACGTACAGTGTACGTGACAAGTCATTTGGTCCCTTTGTGGCGGGACGTACAGTGTACATCTCCCGTCACGAAGGGGTTAAGGACATGAGGACACAACAAAATGTTAGAAGAGAGGGGGGTTCAACCTTAAACTGCAAAAGGTTTTTTTTTTTACTGTGCGCATAGTAAAAATGTGGAATTCCCTTCCACATTCAGTGGTTTCCACTGATAGCGTTGATAAATTCAAGAAACTTCTAGATGAGTTTCTTCTTTCACTACATATACAAGGATATGGGAAGTGTTAAAGCCATATATATACAGACACACAAATACATACACACATAGGTTGAACTGGATGGTCCTTTGTCTTTATTCAACCTTACATACTATGTTACTATGTGATTGGTCACTTATTTGATTTGGTGGTTCTTTTTCCCCTTTAATTCTCTTATATCACTGTATCTCTGCTGTATCTTTTTTAAATCTCTCTATTACACTGCTGAAGATAGCATGGTCACCAGCACACACAAAGTATACACTTAAATCTAGTTTACGTTTCTTACATTGTCACTTCATGTCACAAATACCAATGTTTTGGGGTCACGCAGGGTCCCTTCATTGTGCAACATAGTTACAATTAATGAAGCACACATATATATCCACAATGACACCTAGCGCACCTACAGACCCATGTGACGTCATAGGCTTCAGGTGTCAGTGCGGATATTGTTATAGAAATGAATATACGCTCCTGCGCATAGAAATCCGCTGCGCTAAAAAGCACAGTTCTCAGCTCTTTTTGTATCATTTGATCGAGCGCGCTCATCAGTTCCAAGTAAAACAGACAGGAGCTGTTGTCACGTTGGATGCCCAGTACAAGTCCTATCTAATGTATTGAGATCCATTTATTTATAGCACACAAAGGAGTAACAGCAGGAAGTGGTGGCTCCAACAGCCAATCAATTCCTCAATACATTTACATAACATAGAGTCAGCCAATGAGACACATGTATACACTTGAATAGACAATAGAAAGGGGAGTATATGCTCGTGCATGTGAAACACACCATGCACAGCTCTCAGCTGCTAGTGCTTGTGAATTCCGTGCACACTATTTAACAATAGAAAACCCATGTGCACTGGAATTCCCGGCAAAACACCACACTAAGGGACTGTGGACGCCCAAAAAGACACGAGCGTATGTTCCTTCATAAAGGCAGAGATGTATCCGAATGATACCGCGTCCCTAAAGCAAAGTCATCCACTCCAAGCAAATAAATCCGCGCATTATGCAGGGCCCTCGCCGGCGTCCATACACTTGCGAAGAGGACACCGCTCCGCAACGCACATTAATCTCCCCCGGCCAACAGCAGAGAGCCGTGACAGGATCGAGAGGTGAGCGAACGCCTCTATGTGTTCCCTCACTTCCCGATCTACTGAGCCGACCTGTGATAGTCTTATTGTCATTTGTATTTAGGAATGTATCCAGATTTTTTTTTAAACAGTTAACTGAGCTAGCTAGAACTAGCTCCTGAGGGAGTCCATAGGTTAAGTATATTGCCTCATGACAGCTAATATGAACTTTGCTGATCAAAGAAACTCATAAGGTCAACTAGGTTACCAAATAAACTACTATCAGTACATTCTGCATTTTCATGACTTTCATCTGTCATCTGAGATAAAAGTTGACACATAAGTAAGGTAGCAGCTACATTTTGCTATGTCATCTGAAATCTGGGCAGATATAAAATATATAAATAAATGCAGCTTTGTAATAATTAATACATCTATAAGGGCCCATTCGCAACAGTTTGGTCCACCGCAGTGCTAACGCAAGTCAAGTCACGCATTATGTGCGTTGCTTTAGATCCCTTCCATCATTGATGGCCAGTCTTTGTGCCTTCCTTACATTTGTGGTCAGTGTCTGTCCCCTGTTTACATTGGTGGTTATTGTAGAAGCCCTGTGCATTGGTGGCCAGTGTAATTTCCCTTGTTACATTGGTGGTCAGTGCACCTTTTCCTTACATTGGTAGTAAGGGTAGTTTCCCACATTGCACTGGTGGTTAATGTGGTGCCCCTTGTTACATTGGCGGACAGTTTAGTGCCTTTTGCCTGTAATACATGCAATCATAGCCCTGCAGAAGATATGGGACATGTGACCTGGGTGCCCAAAACTAGTTATGCCCCTGGGTCCCAGACAGCTTGGGCTCAGTGGAAGTGGGTTGAATAAGTCTGCTGTTCACTGAGCAGGCAGATAATGAGGTTGATGTGGAGGGGTAGGTGAGGATGATCAGGTAGGAAGCTGGGTTACTATAACTAGACGGAAGGGTAGGGGCTCACAGAAAAGGAAGACAGAATTTGCTAAGTTGGGTGAAGATGTGCGGGTGGCAAACTCAGAGTTGGCAGTCCTAGATGTCACTGCTACCCCTAACAGCTGGGAGAACAGCCCATCTAGTCTGGGTGGTGAGGGTAATGCAGAAAGGCCTTGTGGTAATAGGGGATTCTATAATCTGGAGGATCGATAGAATAGTTTGTCACCCGGATCAGCTCAACTGAACGGTTTGCTGTCTCCCTGGTGCCAGGGTCCAGCATGTGGTGGACTGGATGGACAAATTACTGGGAGGGGCTGGGCATTACCCTGATGTCTTGGTCCATGTTGGCACCAATGACAGAATACATGGAAGATAGAGGATCCTTAAGAATCAATTTAAAGAATTAAGCTGCAAAATAAAGGTAAGGACCTCCAAGACAGTGGGAGCTTAGAGAGCTAAACGCATGGCTAAAGACTTGGGGTAAGAGGGTTTTTAGAGCACTAGGCTGACTTATCATTGGGGTATAACCTATACGCTAAAGATAGTCTGTAATTAAATGGAAGGGGGTCTGCTGTGCTAGGGGAGAGGTTCATGGGAGGGTTAGAGGAGTATTTAAAATAAGATTCAGGGGAGGGAGTAAGTATAAGTCAGACAGGGGTCAGACTATAATGGAAGGTAAAACAGGGAAAGATGGGGGAAGGTCAATGGAAGTGCATAAGGAGATTCCCACGTTGCAAGAAAACATTGGCGATTAATGTATTATTTGTATTACAAAAAAGATACAGTTATGGGGGTTTCTCAAATCTTGACTGCAAAAGAGGGAATACACTTTAATGCCTTTTAAATCTTTTAGAATTGTTTTTGCTTGTTGGGTGATATGTACTGGATTCTTTATATTTGCCAGATTTGGTTATACAGTTTTCTATAACTTTGAAATAAAATACAAATGCAAACTTGCAGGTTTTTTCAGATCTGTAAGTTAAGAGATGAAGGTAGCAACACCATATCCATAATTTTTACCTGGTTTAGAGGCTTCTTCGTGGCACAATTAATTCCTCCTATAAGTACCATGTTTGGCATATAAGGTCTTGGAAATTCAAAGACATTGTCATGTCTTAAGAGCCAGATTGAAGCCCGACTGAAAAGGTCCACACCTGAGACTTCCCTGTGCAGAAAATCTGATGCCAGTTGAGCAAAAGGAGCATAGAAAATACGGCACAGAATCATCTCAACATATCTCAACAGAAAGTTCTTCACTCTTTCATTGAAGGTCATGTGGTCAGTATATACAGTGAAGAATCTTGGCACATAAGACAGTGGGTTGGGAGACTTGGTTGCTTCCTGTTCCACGCCAAATAGAGCCCCTCTCATGAAGAATACAGTTGGAATAGATAAATGTTGAGCTATTATTTCTCCACATGGAAAGACTGGATCAGTCAACATAGCATCAAACTTGTGTGTTTCCAAATCATTGAGAAAAGTTTCATTGTAAAGAAGGTTCTTACATGCTTCTACAAAATACCTTGTCATATTCATCATCCTGTCATACGTATCAGTTGCTTTCTGTAAGGCTCTCTTCTCTTCAAACACTTCATTGGTATAGTCTTTTATCATTGATTCAATATACTCTTTGGTGTAGGGAGCAGCAAAAGTTCTCACTGTAAATTGGTCTAAATTCTTAAAGTGAAAGTTGACATCGGGGACAACCACAACACTCTCATGACTTCTGTGGGACAGCTTCTCTATCAAGTTTCGCATGCTAAGCCAATGGCTTCCATCTTGAGGTACAACTAGCAGTTTTCCACCTTCATTCAGTCTAAATGTCGCCAAAACAAGAAGAAATCTAAGAACCCTGACGTAAAGTGTCAAAGTATTCATGTCTGCACCGGAGAAAACACAAGATATATTCAAAACCCCTTTATACAGCATTTATGTACTCCGTAATCAACTCTGGATCCATATCAGCTAGCACAAAATGAACTTTGGTTTTTTGGTAAACTTTAAAATAAAATGTTTCTCAGTATCTGGCAGTCTTGCAGTTGAAAAATTATTAACTAAATTGCTACATATCCATTGCTACAAAATGAAGTGGGTGATAAGGGAAAAGATTTTGACATTAGTTCATATTTAGCATTTGCTTCTGTCTGAATTCACTTGCATGAGCAGACAGAGAAAGGCATTCAACTTTGTGAGGAAAAGTAATTTTCCCCAGGGGAATGGTTTTGGATGTCCTTACATGATCACTTGGTATGTAGAACCAGCTGCAGTGTCCTACACCGGCTCTAAGTATTGGGAAGACTATATTTTACTTTGACAATACTTTTCCTTTAGAGGAGAACTATGAGGTGAGTGTTTTTCACTCACCTCATAGTTCTAGCCGACCTGTGACAATGAGACTGTCACAGGTCGGCTCAGTAGATCGGGAAGTGTGCAAACACATAACGGCGTTCGCTCACTTCTCGATCCTGTCACGGCTCTCTGATGTGACAGGGGAGAGACTGGATTCCCTCCGATCCTCCAGCGCTGACTGGCGGAACGGACGATGGAGGGGGCGGGTACAGCTGGCTCTGCCTCTAGATAGGCAGAGCCAGCTGTCACTCACGCAGCTGGGCGGATCTAGCCATAATTGACGG